TGAATTCGTGTATAAATCTATACTGGACTGATTGTCCTACACCGTGCTGCTAGCAACAGTGGTACCTATAGATATTCAGGTGATGAATGTCATACCATTTCGATGTCTTCGAGCGTCGTGTTTTATTAGGTCGATCAAGTATGGTTACAATCATATTACATTATACTTTCTTTGATAACCGGTTTAAGGTAGTTAGTATAAGAGTAGTTACTATAATACAACACTACAGTACTATATTATTTTCCCATTGCATTCACCTTGTGACCTTCTCACATAAACGGTAATGTATAAACTACATTTTTTTAATGATAGTCACACTTAGGAAAATTACTCACTTTTATAAGAAAAAAACTTACAAAACAGTCGGGCCTTGATAGAAGGCTACTTTTAGTAGAAAATATAGGATTTTCTAGGAGATACAAACATTAACAAATATTTACAAACATTCACAAACTCTTACTACAAATATTTACAAACTTATACTTCAAACACTGTTACAAACATTTTGATACAAACAATGACACTAAAATGCTTATGAGCTCACCAGCTTTAAAGCTGATAAACTCTTTCAAAATAACTTGTATTCTCAGGCCATCAGTAGACAGGTACCGATGTCAGCTTTTGAGAAGATGGAGCACATTCAACACTCATCGTTTATTTTGATTTATATTTTTGGTGTCTTATAAACTATATAGAACACTTGTATTACAATATATTATTAATGAAAATGGATGATGTTGTTTGGTTATTTACTATTATTTTGTGTTGTGATAATGTACATGACGTCCTTCGCCCCAGAACGTTTTCGCCGTTCCAGTTTTGGCGTATGACATCGGGACCCAAGACAAGCAATCACCAAGTGAAAAAAAGATAACAACTCGTATTTAGAAAGAAAACAAAGAACTCCAGAACAATAAAAGAAGAAATAAGGAACAAGAAAACCTCACAACGAGATTAGAAGAGAACACAACCAGTATAACCGATCAGCTCTCAGATTCGTTCTCAACTAAGCTTTATCAGTAATCAAATCCGACCCTTAGTGAGTTATTTCAAATCTTATGAGATTGACCGACCGATCCAGTAGAAGAGAAGGCCTTCACTCGAGTAGGATGTAGAACAAATAGTTCTTCTTCTGAATCTGCAAGGCAAGAACAAAAAAAAAACTCGCAGTAACCAAGATCAAGAAGCTATTGTTTGCAATGGACAAATAAAACCCTAATCTTACACGATCTGTAGGTAGATCTAGTTTTCAACAAGAAAACTAGACGAAAAGATAGATTATGAACATCAATAGAAAACAACTAGAAAGAATCGGGATTTAGAACAGTCACCTTGACTCGACGAAAAACAAAGCATCGACAGTCACACTGAGATGAGAATCGGAGCACTAAAGCTGTGATACCATGTAAAAACTAGTAAGAACTCAATTTCACAACATCACTATCTATTATATCATTTGAGGATTAACATACAGGTGGTTTTTAAGTACTTACAATGCAAACCTCACTACATAAACCTACACTACTCTCAACAATGAATCTCTCAATCCTAACCTAGAACAAGATCAAGAACAAATGATAGATCATGTTAACACTATGGAGAAAACCCTAATAACAAGAGATCTTCAAAACGAGAGAGAAAGTGTATGAAACAAAGAAGAAGAGTGATTGAATGAATGACCTGAACAACAACTCTTGACCGTAAGTATCTTGGTCATCTTCAACCCGAAGGATACGCGTGTTAACCCAGGTATATATCTAACTGAACACATTGCACTCTTTTATAATCTCCAAGTTTACCTACAATTCCCTTTTACACATATATCTACAAATGTTGTTATTTTAATTAACAAAATGTTAGTTTGTAAATTTAACCATTATTTATTTTAACAGCTTCTCAAAAAAATCAATATATGGATGCATATTTAGACGTTGCTATATCATGTTAAACAATTAAACTTGGATGCCTTAGAAACTTTATATACAATTTTTTGGTTATATGTCAACATAAATAATTCAAATATAAATTTAATATTTCATTTAGGAAGAGTATTTTGGTAACACCATATATAATTGTGAATTTAGATAAGTTTTTTAATATTATATTACATTAATTTTAATTAAAAAGTGAATTTGGATATATATATATATATATATATATATATATATATATATATATATATATATATATATATATATATATATATACGCGCAATAGAATTTTAAAATAAAATATAGGTAATATTAAAATTTTAAAATTTATAAAGTTCTAGAATGATATTGATGAAATTTTCCTTTTTATTAAATACATATTTTTGTTTTTGAAATAATTGGTTCTCCACCAAAGGCCCTTGTCCGATATTTGAAAAAAAAAATGTTTCTCCACTAAGAGGTTGAATATTCAAGTCCAGTTATGGTCGGATTCTCGATGACTTACTTGTACAGACCACATATTAACCAAATAATTTGGTAATTAGTGCGTTTTTCTTCCCTTTCCAGACTATAACTTAGTGTGAGCCAGAGTTAAATATAACCATAGGTACAGTTGTCTAATTGCTTAAAATGATTAATGAATTGACTCACAAAGACCTAATATTTGAGTTATTAAACGGTTGTACCTACACTTCCAGATTGTACGACAAAATCCCACTAAAAAGAAGTCTCAAAATCGGAAAATACCTTTAATAGACAAAAGATGGGTGTAAATTTATAAATTTAGTCATAAAAAACGTTTTTTCCAGATATAGACACGCATTCCGCCGAGGACCCTCCGCGGACCTCCGCGGAACCATGAATTCTCCGCGAAGCAGGGGTAAATTGGTAATTTCCATCCTATTTTTTTGAGAAAAATGAAGGGGTCCTCTTTTGGTCTCCACTGATCCCCGTTGCTTGTCCACCGTCTACATCGGCTCCTCCAAACTTTGATCGAAGACTTCAACTCCGGCGACGACTTCAACTCCGGCGAAATCAAGTCACAGAGGTGTTTCCTTCACCGATGGATCCCGAATTCCCCGATGTAATGGAGGATGGATACGGTTCCCGGGTACTTCTCACATTCTCATCTCATTGTTAATGTCGAATACGATTCAAATTAGAGGAAAACCCATTTGATTGAAGTTGAAAATGTATACAGATTAAGGATTTTTAGTTTGACAGAATATGATTCAAATTACGAATGATCCATTTCACGGAGGGGGACGTCAGTCCGCATAGGCTTCTCCACGGAGTGATGTGTTTCCAACATTGCAACCTCCATGTAAGCTAGATGTCACTCCGCAGAGAGGCCTCTGCGGAATGAGCTCTAGCCTCTGCGGAGTGATGGTTTTTGCACATTTTTTATTTTTCTGGTTATAATTATGTTTCTATTTATTTCATAATGGAATAATATTATTTTAGTTTTTTCAATTAGTAATTTTTGAAATAAAATAATAATTTTTTTATTGTTGTGTAACACGAAGATCTTAATGAAAAAGCGGATTTAGCTTTGAAAGTTGTGGTGTGGACTATCATTAAAGGCTATTTTCTGCGCCTAACACAATCACAACGAGTATTATTCGCAACTTCCCCCTTTTGGAATATTCTTAAGAATGCATATCCCACATGGTGATCCCTTACTTGTGCATAAGATGATGTTGCACGAAGTAAGGTGTCAACAAATATTTGATGGGGAGGTTTTTGTTTGATGTAGAGGGGATCCAGTTGGGTTTTGGTGAAACTGAATATATTTTGATTTGTGGTTTAAAAGTTAGTCTTTATGTGGATTTACACCATGACGAAAAGGGCCAGTCAAATTCAAATCTCTATGCTCGGTTGTTCCCAGGGATTTCTGATGCACATCTGTAGCTGAAAATTTTAGAAGACTTTATTATGTCCCTGAATTATTTGGCACTACAAGATGAAGATGTTGTGATGCTTATCCAGGTTGTTTTTATGTTGAAGGGTCTACACGGACGGGACGTTAAAACGGGCATTCCTGCAGCAATATACAAGCTTGTTGATAATATAGATGATTGGAACAGGCATTCCCGCAATAGTATGCAATTCACTAATTATAATAAATAAATTGAAAATTGTAGGTTTGCATGGGGTACGTATTTCTGGAAATATACTTCGCGTATGATGTGCGGTTGTTATTATTGTACTAGTAATTATGCACTACTATAATCATAATATTACCCATCATCTTTAAAATAAACACACCATTTTAAAATACACAAATTAGTGTCCTCTAAAACAAAACATAATTAATTATAAATACAACATCAATCATTCAAATCAAACGTTGAACAATAGTCTTGTCTCTGCATCCCACTCGTCCAACGCGTCTCTTGTGTCCCGTGTGTATCGAGAGTCTTCTGAGTCTCATCTATCCTTTTCCCTTACCCTTTTGTGTTACTACCTGATGTTGCACTACTGTTTGTAGCCTTTTTTTGTTTCTTTGGGACCAATGCCGGACAAATCGTTGCATTATGTGTAGTACTATCACATATACTACACCTTCTTACTATAGGTTCATCACCTTGTGACGGGATACGATTTCTGTTTCTTGGTCTACCAGCTTGATGTGTATCCATTATCGGGGGTTTAACAACCATCTTCTCAGCAGGAATCTCCCAATCACACGGTTTTGGAAGGGGGTAAACCGGCTCCTCATACGTACTTCGGTATATTTCCATTTTGTAAGCATCTATAGCCACATGTCCGAAGTTAGTTTTTTTCAAGTGCTTTAAGACCATTATGACATGACCACAAGGCAACCCAGTTCCTTCCCAATATTTTCATGTACAAGTATCTTGGCTCTGATCAACTGTGCCACCATGTTTGAAATCATGAAGTTGATATATTGCATCTGAACACCAGAAATGGACCATCCTTTCGTACGCACTTCATTTTTACTAACAACTTTTTCAGCCCACTCGGTTAGCACTGTTGAACGTTTCCCTGTAAAGAAGATATATATAATTAACTTATTATTCGACCTAATTAAATTCCAAATTAAATTCATACCTCCTCCGATGTGACGTTTGTTAACCATTCCTGTGAAAGACGGCGGAAGAACTCAAGAAGGGGTATTATAGGCATCTTCCTTGCATCTACAGATAAAGCATTCACGGACTCTACACTGTTTGAGGTCATGTAATCGTACAATTTCGACAGCGAATATGCTCTAGTACACTTAGCACGGGGAATTAAATTTAGATACGCTACTACTTGCGGCCTAGTAGAACTAAATCTATACCACAATTCTTCAAAAACATTTCTTTTGTAAGCTTTCACAAGCCTCCAAAACAACACTTTTGTTTTATCATTTTTCCCAAACCAGTGTACTATGTTTCCTAGTAGATGAAAAGCGCACACGCCATGATGAGCATGTAGGAAAACATTTTCAATACTAACCCGAATTGCATCGGCCCTATCAGTGACAAAATTCAATTCTTGACAATCACCAACACATTCATACAACTTTTCATGAAACCATGTCCAAGTAAGGCCACCCTTATTTTTGCATATTCCATGCGTAAGGGGCAGTATCTGGTTGTTCCCATCCATAGCTACTGCATGTAATATGATTTCCTTAAAATCACCCTTCAAATGGGCACCATCCATAATTATTACTTTACGACAAAAACGTTTGAATGCTCATATCTGCAATATATTAAAATGGAGCACATAAACACTCCATAGTTTGCTTATAAAATTATATATTAAATAACAATAAGTTTTCTGTATTTACCATGCTCCTAATGGCATAAAAACAACACTCGGAACAATCTTCAAAATCTGTTTGAATATAAGCCACTGTACCGGGATTATGCCTCTTTAAATTGTGAAAAAAAAATAGTTAGTTTGGAAAAATATTCTTCAGAGGATCCCAACAACAGTTCCATAGTATATTGTTTTGCAGGCCAAGCTTGTTTGTAATCTACATTAATTTCCAGCAAAGCATTCAAATCCCTTGATATTTCATTAGCCTCCAAACCTCGGAACGAGTTTTTCCCATAATGTCATGCAATATAGTACCATCACTTTTTTATTAGCATGCTTATGGTTAAGGTGTATCTGTAATGATGAACATGTATGTGATGGGTTTTGAGCATTCTAACACTTCCTAAGTGTACATGCAACCCTAATAACCTTGGATCTATGTTTGTCTAATTTGTCATGCAAAGTTGAATTCCAAGGTTATATTCCTATCTAGCATACATGGGGAACAATTTAAACTTAAAGTATAGATAGAATAACTTACCTTGTTGTTGCTTGTGTTCCTTGAAACCTTGTGAGCCTAGCACCCCAAGTGTGATGCCTCAAATGCTTCACACAACACCAAATGCTCTTGGAAGAACTTATGAGAGAATACTCACTTCTTCAAAATCGGCCAAGCCCTCTTGTTTCTAAGTGTGTCCGATTTTGGGTGGAGAACATGTTACTTATATAGTGTTGACACATCTAGGGTTAAACCCTAATGTGTCATGACTCTTCATTTCCATGACCCATGGGTTTGTAACTCCCATGGAGCATCCATGGAACATCCTATGGGTGGAACCCAACTTGATAGTCCATGGAGCCTTTTAGCCCACTATACAAGATATGGATGATTTACATAATCAACCCATATATTTAATTAGTTATCTTTTGATCACTTAATTAATTCTAAATTAATTCTTGATCAAACTAATCAAATAATATTATTAATATATTAGAACTTATAATATATTAATAATCTCCAAGTGTTATTTCTCTCATTTAGTCTATCCAATTGCATGGTGCCATGCAACCCAAATGGACCATGTCGGGTCGGGTCAAGTACATACCAGAAATAGTTATGGACTTAGACACCTTATCCAACAGTCTCCCACTTGGATAAGTCTAATAACTATTACTGCAAGTATGACTTCAGGAACCGATCGGCAATCGTAGCTCTTTTCAAGGTTTCTCAAAAACTGAGAAGATGATGGTACACCATTTAAGATAAGTGATCATATAATCCTCCGTTCTAGATATTAGTCGGACAAATACATGGAACAATGTCTTACTTATTGTCCAACATTTGTTTCCCGATTTCCGATTTGTTTGACAAAGAACTTCATTGAACACATCAATTTAGTTTTTGACCGGGCCCGGTACATAGGTCAAAACAAAATCATCGAGGGGCCCAGATATCAGCTTCTAATCCAAGAAGGAACAGATAAACTTCGACTCATATGTTTGTTCTACTACTCATTGAATTACACATAAGAGCGCGATTTTATAACATCGAGTTACCAATGCGTTTTTCGTACAATCAATGCATAACCAACTTGTAAGTAACAAATCATATCTCTAGGTTTAAAGATTTATATGATATTACCGTCTCACGATCACTCGAGATAGAATTCCATGAAGTGATTCCAGTGAGCGTGGGTTGAGTCCAATGCTCAGAACTTATGAGCACTCATGATTGTTGTAGCCTTGTCCCAGACCTCTACAACCAAACATGACAGTCTTGATTCATACCTACTTCCGACATATGACCGACTGTGGAGGTTTGAATAATATGTTATACCAAACAAAATTATTCTGGAAGTCAAAACATGCAAAAGAAATATAGTAAATGATCGACAAGAGATAGTAACACTTTACTCATAAATAAAACACTTTTATTCATCATCAAATGTCAATTACACTTTACAAATTTCAAGGTTATCTAACTACTAAATCTAATATCATCCTTCAGCCCTATGCTCCGAGCATGCTGGAGATGCTTAACCCGAGTCAGTCCCTTCGTGAGGGGATCTGCCGGATTCTCATCTGATGATACCCTCTTTGCCACGAGGAGTCCTTCTTCGATCCGATGTCTGATGAAATGGTATTTTCTGTCGATGTGTCTGGATCTTCCGTGATCCCTTGGTTCCTTGGCTAAGGCAACAGCACTTTCACTATCACAGAAAATTTCCATTGGCTCTTTAATAGCTGGTACAACTCCAAGGTCTCCAATGAAGTTCCTCAGCCATAAAGCCTCCTTTGCTGCCTCGCTAGCTGCAATATACTCTGATTCACAAGTAGAATCTGCCACTGTCTCTTGCTTGGAACTCTTCCAAGAAATTGCTCCTCCATTTAGGGTAAAGACCCAGCCCGACTGAGAGCGGAAGTTATCCCTATCAGTCTGGAAGCTAGCATCACTATACCCTACAACTCTCAAGTCATCACTCCCACCGAGGGTAAGGACCCAGTCCTTAGTCCTTCATAGGTACTTGAGAATATTCTTTACCGCAGTCCAGTGTGCCTTGCCAGGGTTCCCCTGAAACCTGCTAACCATGCTCAAGGCAAAGGCTACATCAGGTCGAGTACACGTCATAGCATACATGATCGAACCTACAGCCGAAACATAAGGTACTCGACTCATTTCTGCTATCTCAGCCTCAGTGCTAGGGCTTTGTGTCTTACTCAGCTTGGCGCTACTCTAGATGGGCAACTCTCCTTTCTTGGAGTCTTGCATTCTGAATCTCTTTAGAACCTTCTCCAAGTAGGTACTTTGACTAAGTCCAATTAGTCTTTTACTCCGATCTCTCAAGATCCTTATTCCCAAAATATAGGCAGCTTCACCAAGGTCCTTCATAGCGAAACACTTTCCAAGCCAGGACTTTACTTCCTGCAAGGTTGGAATGTCGTTTCCTATGAGTAGTATGTCATCCACATACAATACCAAAAAGCTAACTATACTCCCACTAGCCTTGACATATACACAAGATTCATCTTCACTCTAGAAAAGCCAAATTCCTTGACCTTTTCATCAAAGCAAAGATTCCATCTGCGAGGTGCTTGCTTTAATCCATAAATGGATTTCTCAAGCTTACACACTCTATTAGGGTACTTGTTGCTGACAAAACCCTCTGGTTGACTCATGTAAACATCTTCAGCCAACTTCCCATTAAGGAAAGCGGTTTTGACATCCATTTGCCAAATTTCATAGTCATGAAATGCGGCTATGGCTAACAGAACCCGAATAGACTTAATCTTGGCTACCGGAGAAAAGGTCTCATCATAATCCACTCCAGGAATTTGAGAGAAGCCCTTTGCAATCAGTCTAGCCTTATAAGTGTGTACTTTACCATCCATGCCGGTCTTCTTCTTGAAGACCCATTTGCACCCTACAGTCTTTCGACCTGGTACATTCTCAACCAAGTTCCAAACTTGATTGTCATACATGGATTGTATCTCGCTATCCATAGCCTCTTTCCATTTAGCAGACTCGGGGCCGCCATGGCTTCCTCGTAGCTGTTAGGGTCATCTTGACTTACTAGTGTCTCATCACTAATAAGTGTCTCACCTTCTGCAGTAATATGGAATCCATAGTAATGCTCAAGTGCACTCCTAACTCTCGTGGAACGCCTCAGAGGTACAGATTCGTCAATTGGCTCAACAGGAGTTTCCTCCTCAAGTTGAGGGCTAGAGTTTGAAGTTCCTTCACCACTTGACTCTTGAATTTCTTCAAGATCAACTTGCCTCCCACTGTCTCCTTGGCTTATAAACTCTCTTTCTCGAAAGACTCCTCTTCTTGCTACAAAGACCACATTGTCACTAGGTCTGTAGAAGAGGTAACCAAAGGATTGCTGTGGGTAGCCGATGAAAATACACCTCTCGCTTCGGGGTTCGAGCTTATCATGAGTCTCGCGTCTCACGAAAGCCTCGCATCCCCAAATCTTGATGTGGTCTAGTTTAGGTACTTTACCAGTCCACATCTCGTGAGGAGTTTTGGCAACTTTCTTTGTAGGGACTAGATTAAGGATATGGGCGGCAGTCTCTAAGGCATACCCCCAGAATGAGATTGGTAGCGAAGCTCGACTCATCATGGAACGAACCATGTCCAACAAGGTTCGATTACGCCTCTCAGCCACACCATTCAACTGTGGTGTCCTGGGAGGTGTCAATTGTGAGACAATCCCACATTCCTTTAGATAGTCGAGGAACTCTGAACTAAGATACTCACCACCTCGATCGGATCGAAGCATCTTAATGTTCCTGCCCAATTGATTCTCGACTTCCTGTTTAAATTCCTTAAACTTCTCGAAAGTCTCTGACTTATGCTTGATTAAGTAGACATATCCATATCTACTGTAATCATCAGTAAAAGTCAATAATAACGATTAGCATCTCTTGTGGCATGTTTGAATGGTCCACACACATCCGTGTGTATAAGGTCCAACAAACCTTCACCCCTTTCACACGAGCCTGTGAAGGGTGACTTTGTCATTTTTCCAAGTAAGCATGATTCGCAACTATCATTTGACTTTAGGTCAAACGACTCCAAGACTCCATCCTTTTGGAGTTGGCCTATGCGTTTCTTGCTTATATGTCCAAGACGACAATGCCATAATGATGCTTTATCCAAGTTATTATTATTAGTAGAATCAATACACAAAACATTATTTCCTAAGTTATCTACAATAGATACAGCTTCATACACACCATCACAAGGTAATGCTTTAAAATAAAGTACATTATTAAAGAAAGCATTAATCGAACCAACTTCATTATCAAACGAAAAGGTGAAACCTTGTTTGTACAATGCATGAAAGGAAATAATATTTCTTGCCATTTCTGGCGAATAACAACATTTATTCAAATCTAAATTTAACCCACTACTTAGCGATAAAGTATAAACTCCAATCTTGGTGACAGGTGTAACTTTCCTATTCCCCATGATTAAGTTTATTCTTCCTTGCTCCACATTCTCACTTCTTCCTAGTCCCTGCAAGTCACAACAAATATGAATACCGCAACCGGTATCAAGGACCCAAGATTTCGAATGGGGTGAGTTATTAGAAATGATAGTGTAAATACCTGCATGGTTGGGTTTGACTTTCCCATCCTTCACATCTTGCTGGTACTTTGGGCAGTTCCGCTTCCAATGAGCTTTTTCATGGCAATAGAAGCATTCAGCCTCTTTTGGGTCAGAAGAAGGAGTAATGAAACCTTTCTTGGTTCCACTTGAAGAAGAGCCATCAAGGGTCCGAGCCTTGGTACCCTTGAAGATCTCTTTCTCTTCCTCCCTCGACTTTGCCCGATTGCCAAGACCGGAGTTGAGTCTGGAGTAGGAGTGATAGCAACCGACTTCCCCTTAAGACCTGTTTCTGCGGTCTTGAGAAGTCCCTGAAGTTTGCTGAGGGTGACCTCTTCCTTGTTCATGTGATATGTCATGCGGAATTGATCATAGCACGATGGTAAGGAGTGCAAAATGATATCTATTGCAAGCTCCTCAGGGAAGTTCACATTGAGCTTCAGCAAACGATCCACATACCTTTGCATTTTCTGCATGTGGCTCGTGACGGACTCTCCGTCCTTCATCATGGTTGTTATCATGGAGCAGATGACTTCGTACCTCTCTTGTCGTGCACTTTGATGGTATCTTTCCATCAAATCTTGGTGCATTTCATAAGGGTAGAATCTTCATAAGACTTTTGGAGTTCAGCTGTCATGGTGGCCAACATGATGCAAGCCACCTTGGTTGCATCTCTTTCATGAGTATGAAAGTCAGCGATCTCCTGGGGAGTTGCAGTGGACTCGTCAATTTCCTTAAGCTCCTTGTCAAGGACATATTCTTTGTCCTCGTAGCGGGTAATCATCCTGATGTTTCTGATCCATTTATTGAAGTTGGATCCATCAAAGGTGACTTTCCCACAAACTCATAAGAGTAAAGGAGCCATTAGGATTCGAGCCAGAAGCATTTTTGAAGACATCTGAAAGAGAAGAACAAGTTTAGTTTAGATTTAAGAGAGTCCTTAATAAAACACCCAAATGTAATATTAAGGCTAGGATCCAATCACAATATAATATAACTTAGAAGAGGTATGCCGTAATCTAAGCTATACCATATTTGAAAGGTAGGTGAATGACGATTCACCAATTTCCACCACGAAAACCGAAATATTAGATATTTAGTTTTTATTGGTTTTAGAAATTCCTAGATTCTTTGAGATCCAATGAACTTTTCAAAGGCATGTTTCAATCTCGGAGTGCCCTCCAGGTTTTGTGACTGGGATGCCGAGGATCACAAAACGAGGTGTGAAGTAACCATGCAAATCACTTGGTACCCTTAAAGTTTATCACTCAATCGATGTGCCGGTAAACCACACACGCTCCACCGATACTATAATAAACCTTAAGTCACCCTTTACCTACCTTGTTAAGTCCAAGTTAGTGTGCCGGTTAACCACACACGCTCCACCAACGACTTAGACAAAGTGTGTAAAGTGTAATTTCATGGATTAGCACCTTATTCACATTTAGTTACTTTATTATATTCATCATACTTTGAATGAGAATTTATAAGTCCTTGTCTTACCCGTTCGGCTAACGACCCTCCACCAGTCAAGCAAGCGGTGGGTGAGAATATTCACCCATTAAGTCACCATTTTATAGGCAACAACCTTATACCCACCTTATAGACCGGCTTCGTGAATGAGGCGTACTAGCGGTAAGACGACTTTATTCTTATACATATATATATAATTATTAAATTATCATAATATAAGTATAAGGGTTGAATTTTAACTTTTAAAATTCTAGGGGTTGGAACTTAAAGTTTTAACTTAACTTTACTTGTTCCAAAACTTGAGGGCAAGTTTTGTAACTTTCAAAACTTTTCATTTCTTGTAACTTATGAGTTTAATAGAGTAATAAAATGAAGACTCTTCATTTTTCTAACTCTTGTGTTTTCTTAATGTTTTAACTCAAGTGTGACTCTTGGTTTTCCATAACTTAAGGATAAGTTATGGACTCCATTAAAACACATTATGATCAAGAATTAACTACCAAATAGGTTACAAATAATTCCTATGATCATCTAAAACATCATAAGAACAAGAACATGAATATGAACACAATCAAAAATTACATAAAACTTTGTAATTTTGATAACTAGTTGTTGTAAATGAATTAGCAAAGACATTACACCACCAAAAAACAAGTTTTCAATTACCAAAACAGTTTAGGGTAATGTTTCTAATTCATTTCCAGCAACTGAATCGAAATTCTGCACTCATTCGACCCTACTCGCCGAGTGCATGAACTGACTCGCCGAGTTGGTTGAAGATACTCATGGACTCGACGAGTCCCCCTATAGACTCGACGAGTCCATTCGCAGACAGCAAAATTTCCGATTCTGTTTTCAACTTTTAAGCACAAATAAGAACAAACAAGCCTAGGCTCTGATACCACTTGATGGGTTTTGAGCATTCTAACACTTCCTAAGTGTACATGCAACCCTAATAACCTTGGATCTATGTTTGTCTAATTTGTCATGCAAAGTTGAATTCCAAGGTTATATTCCTATCTAGCATACATGGGGAACAATTTTAACATAAAGTATAGATAGAATAACTTACCTTGTTGTTGTCTTGTGTTCCTTGAAACCTTGTGAGCCTAGCACCCCAAGTGTGATGCCTCAAATGCTTCACACAACACCAAATGCTCTTGGAAGAACTTATGAGAGAATACTCACTTCTTCAAAATCGGCCAAGTGTTTCCCGATTTTGGGTGGAGAACATGTTACTTATATAGTGTTGACACATCTAGGGTTAAACCCTAATGTGTCATGACTCTTCATTTCCATGACCCATGGGTTTGTAACTCCCATGGAGCATCCATGGAGCATCCTATGGGTGGAACCCAACTTGATAGTCCATGGAGCCTTTTAGCCCACTATACAAGATATGGATGATTTACATAATCAACCCATATATTTAATTAGTTATCTTTTGATCACTTAATTAATTCTAAATTAATTCTTGATCAAACTAATCAAATAATATTATTAATATATTAGAACTTATAATATATTAATAATCTCCAAGTGTTATTTCTCTCATTTAGTCTATCCAATTGCATGGTGCCATGCAACCCAAATTGACCATGCCGGGTCGGGTCAAGTACATACCAGAAATAGTTATGGACTTAGACACCTTATCCAACAGTATGCACGTTGTTGAAAGTCCTGATATCAAATTCATCAGTGGGATCAAGGCGTTTTGCATATAAACGCCAACAACAGTTCTCAATTTCACAATATACCTCATAACGATTTTTGTTAAAATGTTTGGACTTAAACTGAAACTTTTCTCTAGTTGCTTTAAGACTCAAAGCAAATATTAGTTGATGTTTGTTATCATATGTTTGACGAACAAACATATCATCATTTGGACCTAACTATGAAATGGTCCAGGTTCAACAATAGGATCAGGACAATCTGGTATGGGAGGCATACCGTAAAATATGTCTGAAGCTTTTCTCCAGTTTGTGAACTCGTCTTCTGACCATCCTTCATTTGACTCTTCACCGTCTGACAAAGTTTTGTCAGTCAGTCTTCCAAACTCATATAAATCTTTTTCTTCCACCGTATTCACTATCACAATTTCTTCTTCTGGACACTCTTCAACATTATCAGATACAACGTTTTCAACATTGTAAGGTACAACTTTCTAAACCACTTCTGTCTGTTTGATCAATCCCTGAAACACCTCTAAATACAAATGCACAATCTCCTTCATTTCAAAAATTACATTTATGAGTTGATGAACATCTGCTTCGTCCAAAATATTCATAACATACCCATGAACCGAATGTTGAAATGACAATGATATATTACTATTGAACACATTAGCCTTACTTTTGACCAAATCAAA